TATTTATTTAATTTATTTATTTATCTTTTTTGAGACAGGGTCTCCTTGTAGCCCCAGCTGTCCTGGAACTATGTAGAACAGGTAGGCCTTGAACTCACAAAGATCCACCTGCCTCTGCCTCCCAAGTGCTGGGATTAAAGGCGTGAGCCACCACACCAGGCATGACCCTGTATTTTAGGGGGGAAAAAAAAAAATGGATTGGGGATGTAGCTCAGTGGTAGAGCACTTACCTAGACAGTCAAGGCCCTAGTATGTTCAATCCCTATTACTGCAGAAAATAAAGAAGGCTGGGGTGTGGTAGCATATGCTTATAATCCCAGCACTGAAGAGGAGGCAAGCAGATCCCCAGGGGTCACTGGCCAGCCATCTTGGCCTAGTTAGAAAGCTCCAGACCACTAAAGACCGTCTCAAAAAGGGTGTATAGCACAAAGGACCTATTCACACGAGGACCAACACCTGAGGCTGTCCAGCATTCCCTCCCACTGAACATGCACACACACAAAGAAATTATAAACATATGAATTAATCCAAACAAACACTGGCAGAAGAAAACCAGAAAATGGTCAAGTTTTCGGGAAGAAAGAAAAGAGTTCACATTATGGCTTTAACTCAAGAAGCCATGAAAGAAAAGCATAAAAAAAATTAAACTTCTTGGGCTGGAGAGATGGCTTAGTGGTTAAGAACACTGGTTGTTCTTGCAGAAGCCCCTGGTTCGAATTCCAGCACCCACATGGCAGCTAACAACTGTCCGTAATTCCAGGGGATCTGATGGCCTCTTCTGTCCTTCGCAGGCATTGTGTAACACGGGTGCAATTATCTATTTGCAGGCAATACACTCATACACATAAAATAAAAATAATAAAATATTAAAAAATAAAATTAAACCTACAGAGCCAGGCGTGGTGGTGCACACCTTTAATCCCAGCACTCGGGAGGCAGAGGCAGGCGGATCTCTGTGAGTTCAAGGCCAGCCTGGTCTACAGAGTGAGTTCCAGGCAGCTGGAGCTACAGGGAGACCCTGTCTCAAAAAGACCAAAAAAAAAAAAATTAAACCTACAGAGCAAAAAAAAAAAAAATCAGCATAAATATTTCTGAATATTGTTTCAGTAATCATCAGACTCTAATGTTATGATTTTTATGAGTCTATCCTCCAGAACTCCTTAAAGACTTTTGGGGGCTAGAGGTGGCAGAAATGCCAGTAGCTCAGCCTCAAGAATGTTTTACTTTGACTGCTACCCTTGGGGCTAGAGATAGCCCAGCACTTAAGAGCTCTTGCCGAGGACCCAGGCTTGAATCCTAGCACCCACATGGCAGCTAATATCCATAACTCCAGTTCCAGGGGATCTGATGTCTCTTCTGACCCCGGAGGGCACTGCATGACATGGGCATACTTACATACATTCAGGTAATACACTCACACACATAAAATAAAAATAATAAAAAAATTTAAATTCGGAGGCTGGAGAAAATGGCTCAGCGGTTAAGAGCACTGACTGCTCTTGCAGAGGACCTGGGTTTGATTCCCAGCACCCACATGGCGGCTACAAACCTTCCTTAACTCCAGTTCCAGGGGAATCTGATGTCTCTTCTGACCTCCGGAGGACTGCATGACACGGGCATACTTACATACATTCAGGTAATACACTCACACACATAAAATAAAAATAATAAAATTAAAAAAAAAATTTTAATTCTATCCTCTACCCCTACCCCTATGTAAGAAAAATCTTACCTTGCTCTCCCAACCGGTAAAGCAAGTGGCCCAACATTTTCACCAGTAGAGAAATCAGAAATAGCAGTTTCTTCAGACTGTGATTCCTCAACATGACTTGTTTCTTCCTTTTCTAAAGGCTTTAAAATATTTTATTTAATCAGATGTAAGAGTCAACTACTTGAAAGGAATAACTACACAGTACACAATGCATTCATTCATTCCCATGTCCCCAAGCACAAGTGACTGCACTGCAGCCAGAAGGACAGTCATTTACTAGTTTGGTACCGACTCATCTTGCCATCAGAACCATTCCCATCTTCCCATAAAAAGATAGATTCTAGGAGATGGAGAGAGCACTGACTGCTCTTGCAGAGGACCCAGGTTCAAGTCCCAGCATCCACATGGCGGCTACCAACCATCCTTAACTCCAATTCCAGGGGAATCCGAAGCCCTCTTCTGACCTCCACGGCGTTGCTCGACACGGGTGCGCTCACATACATGCAGGCAATACACTCATACACATAAAATAAAAATAATAAATAAAAATATTTTAAAAGATACTGATTCTAGTTGCTACTTGTAAAGGAAACATCTGATAACATTAGAGAAATGTTCCAATATGCACAAAATAATGAGATGAGCTAAAGGTAAAAATACCAAGGGAAGATGCCAGATTTTTAGTTTTCATTTCCTAACTGGAACATCTTGCTTAAGGGATAGGAGCTTAGAGTCCACAGGCCTCACTTTATTTATTTATTTCATTATTTTTTTGACACAAAGTCCAAATGCTAGAATGGCAGGTATGTACCGCCACCCCCAGCCACAGCCCTCACTTCTTAAATCTATTCCTTTCAGGTCTGTCACCTCTCATTAGTGTTACAGGGATCTAATATCTACATCTTTACAAAACAGTTATGTAACTAAGCTTGACACTAACAATAACTGTAGGAGTTAACATTTCCTGAGCACTACTATATATAAGGTACTTTTCAAAGAAGCTGTGTGCCACCATGCCTGGCTTTTTTTTTATTCATTTTTATTTTATGTATATTAGTGTTTTGTCTACACGTATGTATGTGCACCACATAAATGCTGTGAGCCACCATGTGGGGCTAGGAACCAAATCTGGGTCCTCTGTAAGAGCAGCTAGTGCTTTTAACCCCCAAGTCATGACACCAGCCCCAATTTACCCTTTATTCTTCATAAATATTGGGAGATAGACACTATTATTATCCATGTTTTACGGATGGGAAAATTGAAATTAACAAAAGGCTAAATCACTTGCCTAGAACCACATAACCACTAACTGTCAAAGTCAACGGTTGAACATTAAGTGTGCTCACAGGAAACCAACACAGGAATGATTATGGTAGTTCTATACACAAAGACCAGAAACACCCAAATGCCCTTCAACTGGTTAAACTGAGGTGTACCCATACATTAGAATACTGCATAGCAATAACCTAAGAAAGGAACTATTAATGTGCTCAATGAACTTGGATGACTCATTGATAATTTTACTTGTTCTTTTCTTAATGAGTGTACTATAGAAGTTTGAATCATACATTTGGCATTTTATTTCTAGTAGACAGCACTGTGCTTATTCCTCAAAAAATTGGTACCCATTTTCACTACGCAGAAAGAAAAGCGAGTAAGGCTCAGATTATTCCCAAAGAACCAAATTTGGCTACTAAGGTTAGTCACAAAGCCCATATGCTTACCACTCTTTCCACAATGAACACTAAGTCATTTTCATTTAGAACAGTTTTCAGAAGATTTGGTTGACCTTTGCTGATCAAGTGCACTTGCACATCGGCCTGTTAAAAACAGATTGCAACATATATGTATATATATAATTTAAATGCATAAAGACCAGTTTTATACAAATGACCAGAAAAAAAAAAAAAAAGTTTTAAAAAGTAAAGCTTCACTTATTTTTGTCATGTTAATTTTTCTTTTTTTTTTGGTCTTTTTGAGACAGGGTCTCCCTGTAGCCCCAGCTGTCCTGGAACTCACTATGTAGACCAGGCTGGCCTCGAACTCACAGAGATCTGCCTGCCTCTGCCTCTGGAGTGCTGGGATTAAAGGCGTGCACCACCACGCCCAGCTTAATTTTTCTTTTTAAAAAATATTTTACTTATTATTTTTATTTTATGAGTATGAGTATATTGCCTGCATGTATGTAAGCATACCTGTGTCATGCAATGCCGCACAGGTCAGAAGAGGGCTTCGGATTCCCCTGGACCTGGAGTTAAGGACAGTTTTTAGCTGTCATGTGGATGCTGGGAATCAAACCCGGGTCCTCTGCAAGAGCAGTCAGTGCTCTTTAACCACTGAGCCATTTCTCCAGCCCTGTCATGTTAATTTTTCTAATTTATTTTTATTATTTGTGTGTGTGTATATGTGTACATGGCCTCTTCTGACCTCCATGACATTGCAAGACACAAGTGCACTCACATGCAGGCAATATACTCATACACATAAAATAAAAACGGTAAATAAAAATTTAAAAAAAAATTATGTGTATGTCTTTACGTGTATATGTGCACATGACTGCAGTTCCCAGAAGAGGTCAGAGGCATCGGATTCCCTAGAGCTGAAGTTGCAGGCAACTGTGAGCCCCAACATGGGTGCTGGGAGCTGAATCTAGATCCTCTGGAAGAGCAGGAAGTGCTCTTAACCACCGAGTCATCTCTCTAGTCACTAAAGTCTTCTTTTGCTAAGGACTACATTGACATCTTCTTTCCCTAATTACACTGCATTATTACGTATTATAAAAAAGCAGCATACTAAATGTCATCCTTTCTTTGGATTATGAAACTTTAGAACTATAACACATCAGTTCACAGGAAGTGTCTGTATTTTTGCTCCAAGTGTAATACATATATCGTAGAAAAAACATGAAAATAGCTTTTTAACTTTTTAAAAAAATGTATTATTATGTGCATGCATGATGTACATGTGAGTGTGGTCACACACATACCATAGTGTATGCATGGAAGTCAGAGGTCAACTTTCAGGGGCCTTTATGTGGGTTTTGGGGATTGAACTCAGGTCTGCACACTTGTATGGCCCAGGGAGCATTTTAAAAATAGTTTTCAAAAAATTACCCATAACTCTACTCCCAGGATAATTACTACTATTTTTACCCTGGCTTATATTCTGTGGGATCGTTTTTCCAGGCATTTAAATCCATTTAAGTGGAAATCTGTTCATTTAGCTATCCAGACAGGATTTTCCATAATAACAAGATACTCTAATAGTTTATATCATGAATCTCTTTCCTATACTCTTTGGACGCCCAGTACCACAGTTCCACTATCATACAGTAATTCTATGCTGTGATGTGTTGCTAGTTTCCGGTTATTTGCTACAGTAAACAATGGACAATGAATACCTATGAATTACTTTCCTAAAATGAATACTTGAAATCACACTGAGATCACTGTCATTCGAATATACCTCACAATCCCATCAACACAGTATTTCATTCACTTATTTCTCCTAGCAAATGTAGGTGGCCATTCTGTAATATGCTTATTCATAGTTTCTTAGGACATTAAAAGCATGTAGATACCTAGTTCAGAAAACCAAGGATACTCTATTACTCTAATCTAGATGTTAAGTTTTAGTTAGTGTTGCGGGCTACACTGTGTTCCCATAAAGATATCTGGAAGCATTAACCTCAATTCTTTTTTTAAACCTGGTTTGTCACCAGCATTTAAAAAACCAGACCTAGGGAAAGAACTAGGCCTGGGGACACATGAATGGTTTTACTATGGTGAATGTTTAGCCTGTCCTGATTATCACAAAATCAGAACAGCAAGAATATTCGCAGATTAACACAGTCGGTGTGAATGTAATCTTATTTACAAATGTAATCAAGTTAAGTTTAGAATTAATTTGAGTTGGGGTGAAGGGTCAGTCCAATGACTGAGAGATTTAAAGACACAGATACAAGGGAGAAGGCAATGTGCTTATGGAGTCAAAGATTACAGTAGTAAGAATCCAAGCCAAGCATCAACAAAGGCCACTGGAAACCACAAGCCAGGAAGAGGCCACGAAGAATCCTTCTGTGAAACCTTTGGTGGGAACATGGCCTGCCTATGCCTTCATCTCAGCCCTCTAGCCCTCAATACTGTAAGACTACTTTGCTACGGTAGCTGTTAGAAACTAATACAGATTTCAAGCAGCAAAAATTCAGAGAGGGGCATATTTAGTCAGCAACGTACTTGATTATTTTATTTTTTGGTCTTTTCCCAGCTGGCCTGGAACTCACGATGCAGACCAGATTGGCCATGATATCAGAGATCCACCTGCTTCTGCCTTCCGAATGCTGGGATTAAAGACTTGTACCACCATACCACCCAGTGTATTTGATTCTTGAGTTTGGTGAAAATTCAATAAAAGATAACTATATTTACATTTTTATTTGTTCATATCCTTTGCCTATTCTATTAGTTTTTTCTTTCCTGTTGATTTTTAAGAGTTTTATATAAATTTTATATATACATTTATATATGTTTAGATATTAACCTTCGTTTATGATTATTTCTCCCAATCTTGGTTTTTAATAATTTACTTAGTTTTTGGGAGGCAGAGGCAGGTGGATCTCTGTGAGTTCAAGGCCAGCCTGGTCCATATAGTGAGTTCCAGGCTAGCTGGAGCTACAGGGAGACCCTGTCTCAAAAAGACCAAAAAAATTTAGTTAGCTCTTTGTTATCATAGATGTAGGTTTTATAACCTCAACTATGAGAAATTTAACTATGGGATAGCTAATATATATCAGATTTTTCTAAATTAATTTTATTAGTTTTTAATTATACATGTGTGTCTGTGTGTGTGTGTGTGTGTGTGTGTGTGTGTGTGTACACCTGAATGCAGTTCTGGAGTCTGGAGTTACAGGCTGCTGTGAGCCTGCTGATATGGGTGCTGGGAATCGAACTCTCAGGATCTCTGGAAGAACAGCTCAGGCTCTGAACCACTGAGCCATCTCTCCAGATTTTTTTTTTTTTGGGGGGGGTCTTTTTGAAACAGGGTTTCAAAACCTGTAGCCCTAACTGGCCTGGGGCTCACTATGTAGACTAGGCTGGCCTTGAACTCACAGAGATCTGCCTGCCTCTGCCTCCCAAGTGCTGGGATTACAGGCGTGTGCCACCATGCCTGGCTCATATATCAGATTCTTAATAAATATGAGTATTTATAGCAATCTAATTCATATTTGTAAAAACCTGGAAACAGGGGCTGGAGACATGACTCCATGGTTAAGATCACTAGCTGTTCTTACAGAGGACCAGGGTTCAGTTCCCAGTACCCACATGGCAGCTAACAACAGTCTGTAACTCCAGTTCCAAGGGATCAATCCAACACCATTTTCTGACCTCCACAGGTATTGTACATTATGGGTACACTTATATACAAGCAAGTAATACACTCATATACACAAAATAAAATATTTTTTTAAAACTGGAAACAATACAAATGTCTGTCAATCCATGACTAGATAACCAAACTTTACTACTACTCAATAAAAAGGATGGGGCTAGAGAGATGGCTCAGCAGTTAAGAGCACTGACTGCTCTTGTAGAGGATCCATGTTCGATTCCCAGCACCCACATGGTAGCTACGAACCATCCTTAACTCCAGTTCCAGGGGAATCTGATGCCCTCTTCTGACCTCTTCACGACATGGGTGCACTCGCATGCAGGCAATACACTTATATACATTAAAAAATAAAATAAAATAAAATATTTTTTTAAAAAAGGAATAAACTGGCCGGGTGTGGTGGTGCACGCCTTTAATCCCAGCACTTGGGAAGCAGAGGCAGGCAGATCTCTGTGAGTTCAAGGCCAGCCTGGTCTACATAGTGAGTTCCAGGACAGCTGGGACTATTGGGAGACCCTGTCTCAAAAAGACCCCCCCCAAAAAAGGAATAAACTGACACATAACATCAATGAATTTCAAACGCACTATATTAATTTTAAAAAGCCAAAGGCAAGAAGCTGCATATTTTATTTGCAGACATTCTGGAAATGACAAAACTATGCAGACAAAGAACAGATTAGCAACGATAAGAACAAGACAAAAGTAATGGCTTAAAAAAAGGCATGAGAAGAGTTTTAGAATTAAAATATTCTACATCTTGATTATGGGTGCAGTTACATGATTGGATTTACTTATCAAAATTCACTTCTAAAAGGGTAAAATATGTCCTATGTAAAAAAAAAAAAAATCTGTCGGGAGGCAGAGGCAGGCGGATCTCAGTGAGTTCAAGGCCAGTCTGGTCTACATAGTGAGTTCCAGGACAGCTGGTGCTACAGAGAGCCCCTGTCTCAAAAAGACAGAAAAAAAAAAGTCTTATTTAAAGTCCCAAGAGAATACTTGCTCTTGCAGAGGACCTGGGTTTGAGTCCCAGCACCTACACAGTGGCTAACAATCACTGGTAACTCTAGGTCCAGGGGGTCTGACAGTCCCTTCTAGACTCCAGGGGCACCAGGCATACTTGTGGGACACTTACATCATACAGGCAGTCATACATATGCATTAAAAAATTTTTTTAATTGTAAAAAAAAAATCCAAGCTGGGTGTGGTGGTACATGCCTTTAATCCCAGCACTTGGGAAGCAGAGGCAGGCGAATCTCTGAGTTCGAGGCCAGACTGGTCTACATAGTGAGTTCCATAGTGAGGCCACTAGTGAGTTCCATAGTGAGCTGGTGCTACAGGGAGACTCTGTCTCAAAAAGAACCCCACCCCACCCCCGCCAGAAAAAAAAAATCCACGATTTTAGGGTCATTGACCTATATTTAAAAACCAAATACTGGAGCTAGAGAGATGGCTCAGTAGTTAAGAGCACTGGCTGCTCTTGCAGAAGACTCAGGTTCAGTACCCAGTACCCACAGAGAGGTTAACACTCACCCTTAACTCCAGTTCCAAGGGATCAAACACCCTCTTCTGGCCTCTGTGGGCACCAGACACGCACATGGTACATTTGTGTACACACATGGAGGCAAAACACTCATACACATATTACATCAAAAAAAAATTTTAAACCAAATAAATTGCTCATACCTCATAGATAAATGGGTCTTTGCAAATTTCTTTCTTTTCTTCTTTGAATTCTCTGAAATGCAGAATCACATGTGAAAAACAGAGCTGCTATATGTCTCTAAACTCGGGAATTAGCTAGCTAGCACTTTACATATGCACAGTGGAAAAAGCAAAGCACTTCTGGCAGTTCTAAGGACAGCTGAAGAAAGGGAAAAATAATCAAGAAAAGATAAAGGGGGGGGCTGGAGAGATAGCTCAGCAGTTAAGAACACTTGCTGTGCCAACACACCTTTAATCCCGGCACTTGGGAGGCAGAGTCAGGTGGAGCTCTGTTAGTTCAAGGCCAGCCTGGTCTATAGGCAGTCATACATATGCACAAATTTTTTTTGAGTGAGTTTCAGGCCAGCTGGGGCTACAGGGAGACCCTGTCTCAAAAAGACAAACAGACCAAAAAAAAAAAAAAAAAAAAGAACAACACTTGCTGTTCTTCCAAAGGACCTGGGTTGGATCCCAGTACCTACATGGCAGCTAACAACTGTCCATAACTCCAGTACCATCCATAATTCCAGTTCCAGGGGATCCAACACCCTCTTCTGGCCTTGCATTGCATGCACAGGTACACTTATATACATGCAGGCAACATACTCACACATATAAAATAAAAGATAAAGGAGTCAGCAATGTAGCTCAATGGTAGAACACTTGCCTAACAGGTGCAAGGGCCTAGATTCCATCCCCAACATGGAGGCACAGACGTGTGACAGATATTAATGGACGATAGCCTACAATTTTAAATGATTTTAAAGGCAACAGCAGACAATTAAATTCTTTACCTCTATTCTGTCTTTTCAAATATCAGTAGTTATTTACCACGTCTTTCAGAAAGTAAAAATGGGCTCTGATCTGGCACTGAAGTTACTTAAGGGTCCCAGGTCTTAGATTTCTAAAGTTAAAATATAAACATTTACTCTCCATTTTATGAGCTGTTATTAAAAAAATGAGTAAATGTGGGTCAAAAGTGGTGGCACACATCCCTAATCTCAGCACTCTGGAGAGCAGAGGCAGGTGGAGCTCTGTGAATTTGAGGCCAGCCTGGTCTACATAACAAGTTCCAGGTTAGCCAGAGCTACACAATGAAATCCTGTCTCAGAAAAAAAAAAAAATTAGTAAATATGATTATGTTGAACATTTCATTTTAAAAATGTTAAAAACTGGGGCTGGAGAGATGGCTCAGCGGTTAAGAACACTGGTTGTTCTTGCAGAAGACCCAGGTTTGAATCTCAGCACCCACATGGAAGCTAACAACTGTAACTCCAGTCCTAGGGGATCTGACAACCTCTTCTGACCTCCGCAGGCATTGCACGACACGGGTGCACTTACCTACATGCAGGCAATACACGCATACACATAAAATAAAAATAAAAAATAAAGTTAAAAAAAAATCTCTTGTATGTATGAATGTTTTGCTTGCATACATGTAAGTGCACCATGTGTGTAATGTCCACAGATGCCAGAAAGGGCATCAGACTCCCTGGAACTGGAGTTACACTTAACTGCCAAGTAAGTGCTGAGAACTGAACCAGGGTCGGGCACAAGAGGATCCAGTGTTCTTAACCACTAAGGCATCTCCCCAGTCACCACACACACACACACACACACACACACACACACACACAAAACACACAGATCTTACAAGCTGCTGGGTATGGTGGTACATACCCTAATTCCAGCATTTGGGAAGCTGAAGCAAGAGGAGTTCAAGTTCTGGGCTAGCCTACACTGCATAGTGAGAGCTTGTCTCAAAATTACAAAGATAAAAACCTCCAGAATATCATTTATTGTTTAATAATTAATATTTAATTATTGTTTAATAAAATTTCAATAGTAATCTCACAGCACATAAACTATAAACCATTAGCACAGGAAAACCATTCACATGAAAAAAAACTTTAGTCACTAAAGAACCCAAGAGAATTGTTTCAAGACACCATTTGCATGTTCGATCTAACACATGACCTACTGAACTAGAAACAGGAAAACGGGCCTGCGACTGATTGAGTTTTGCTATAGAGAACATCACTGTGGATTACTCCTTGATTTGTGTATGTGTAGGCATATGCTTGTGGAGATCGGAAGACAACCTGCAGGATCTGGTTCTCTCTTTGCACCATGTGCATTCCAGGTTGTCAGATTTGGTGGCAGGCGCCTGTACCTGCCATCTCACTGGCACAAGATTAAATTTATTTTAAAGATGGTTGTCCTTTACATAGAACTCAAGAGTATTACTTAGTCATTTAACAACTAATTCTCAAGCACATCCAGATGTTTGCTAGATACTGGGGATTATCAAACAAAGCCAGTCTTGACTGTAATCCAATGAGTAAACCAACAGTTAAGGAGTACTAAGAACATTAACCGGTAAAAGCTTCCTACACAGGAAACTGATGTGGTGCTTTAGCTGTAATGTTTGAATTTTATCCAGAAACCCCAGAAGAACGTACTAAAAGATTTTAAATGGGAAAGATCTGTTATGTGGAGGGTAGTAACCTCGAGTACAGGAAAACTGCTTGAATAACTTGGAACACTTTAGAGAAATTATAATGGCCCTACCTAGAACAGTAGAGATGGGCAAGTATAAGGGCTGAGATGTGACTCAAACGGCAGAGCACTTACTCAGCATGCACAAGGCTTGGGTTCAATCCTTAGCACAGCAAGAGAACCACCGAGGAGGTGGGGAGCGTGGGAGTCAGTCAAGGGTTTAAACAGGTGAGGGATGCCAATCTCTAGTTCTCCCTGTCCCGGAAGCCTCCACTTAGCACAGGGCAAGTAAACTGTCAGTGAAAACCCTGGTAACCGTCCACCTCTTGGCTACCGTTTTCTCCACGGATGACCCGTAAGCTTTGCCCCAGCAGGCCACACCCCGCCTCTCCCCAGCTCCCAGACCCCAGCCAAGCCGGTGAGGTGCGCATCCTCCAGAAGGGACGGGACTCGGGCGGGGAGACAGAAGCCCAGAGGATGGCTGCGTTCCTGGACCACGACTCACTGCAGCAGGCGAGAGTAAAACTCCTCGGCCGCACCATTCGTTCGCGCCCACATGCCAACCCAGGCCGCGGTACCGAAACCAGCCAAACCGAACAGCGCGCCCGGACGCTGACGTCAGAGCACGACCCCGCCCCGCCGGAACTACTTCACAGACCGCTTTCCGTCTGTCTTCAAATTTAAAATTTCTTTTTAATTTATTAAAGAGCATCCAGTAATATTCCTTATTCATGTATTCTCACATTCCCGTCAAGAAAAAAAATATTAAAATAAAGGCAGCGACTGAGAAAGACGCCTGGTCTCGCGAGAGTGAGCTGCAGTACGAATTACTCCGCGAAAAGGAGTCCCTACGTTCTTAGCACCGTTTGTGCTTTGGAAGACGTGGAGACTGTTGTTTGACCTGCTGGAGGCGATAGTAGGATGTGTCTGATTCTTGTGGCGTGGGAGGGAGAGGGCTGGGGTGCCCGCGCTGGTTTCGGGGCGCGATGGGTGGGGAGCGGAGGGGAGGGCTACATAGAAGGCGGGCGTACTAGGCACTTCCTTTTCCTGCGGAGCCGCCGCGTCGGGAGGAGCGTGGCTGTCTCTTCTCCCCGCCATGGTGAGTGGAAGGGCCCTTCGCTGAGCGCTTGCCTGAGTCCCGGGGCCCTCAGGGAAGGACGGGGGTTTAGGACGTGGGGCCCGCAGGGCAGGATCCGGGGGATGAGTGCCGGTTGCCCTGCTGCGGACGGGAGGCGGGTGTGCGGCGTGCGGCAGCCATCTTAGGGCCAACGTGGGCGAGCACACGGGGACTCGGGTCTGAGGCTCCCCTCTTTCCTTGGGGCTCAGGACCCTCAGTTTCTGGAAACCGAGCCCTTCGGTGGCTGCCGGGCTGGGGGGCACCCGATGGGGAGGCTTGGGGAGCCTTGTAGGTTTATGTACTTGTGTCTTCCCACCGCTTAACGACTGGGTTAAGGAAGAGAAGAAAATCTAACACTTAACTGAAGGTTTGTTTGCCTCGCTTTGAAGTCATTTCTAGAAAAGAAAGTTTAGTCTCCTCGCTTAAAAGCTAAGTGTTCGGAGGCCGGGCGTGGTGGCGCACACCTTAATCCCAGCACTCGGAAGGCAGGGGCCGGCGGATCTCTGAGTTCAGAGCCAGCTGTGGCTACAGGGAGACCTAGTCTCAAAAAGACAAAAAAAAAAAAAAAAAAAAAAAAAGCTAATTGTTCTGTTTGGTGCCTTGTTTAGAGTCCTCAGCCAACTTGCTTACCGTGTTATGTAGTGTTACATGTAATGTTTTCCCAGAAATGTCTTTGTACATGCTACATACTTTGTGCCATACATAGCAATGTGTGGGTTAAAGTTGAACCAAACAGTTCTGTGACCATACGGTGTTTGAGAAGGGGATCAAGATTGAGCTTTAAACTGACGATAGACACTGGCCTGGTAGGTGAAGAGCTTTAGGGTGACATATTTGTAACTGGTACAAGGAAGGGTGGTCCTGAGTATGTGACAAGTGTCTGGAAGATATGTGAAGTCAGTGGAGTGAAGCAGGTTATCCTCAGATAGCCTGTTCTGTAGACTATCCTTAGGTGAAGAGTTGAACAAAAGGTGGTATAACTTTTAACTAGAGAAGTTCCTAGAGAGGGGACTTTGTTTTGATTGAGCATTATGCTCAGGGTTGCTTTGAAATGCTAAGGTTCTCTTTGAAAAATATCATGTGGCAGATGTTCAGATTCTAAGTGTTTCTTGCCTGTAAGAATTTATTGGCATCATAGGTCTGATGTTACGTGTAGCCGCCTCTGTTTCTTGAATTGTTTTTGATGCAGGGGCTCATGCGGGCCGGGCTGACTTTGAGCTCCTGATCCTCCTGTCTCCACCTTAGTGCTGGGAGTACAGGTGTGCCTCACCATGCCCCAGTTTATGTAGTGCTGGGAATCCTAACTCAGGCCTTCATACATGTTAGGCAAGCACTCTGCTCATTGACCTATATCTGCAGTCCTTTTACCTTAATAGCATTGTCTGTTCAAAAACTGAGCTCTTAAGCTAGCCTGAATTGACATGAGGGAAGAGTTTGTCTCCAGTGTTGTCAACATGAATACTTTTTTCCCTAGTGAATGTTGGTTATACAAAATGATGGATTCTAGAGGTATGATTTTGTAGACCTATTTCCTTACTTACTCTCAGTTCTGTAACCCCAGCTGGCCTAGAACTCACACAGATCTATGCTTGCCCCTGTCTCCCGGGTGCTGGGCTTAAAGATGTAGCACCATGCCTGGCTCACTCTCAGTTCTTAAATATATTTTTAAAAATCTAAATTTCCAAATGGAGAGTGCTTGTATGTTTGACATGTCTTTATTTCTTCCAAGGCGTGTGCTCGTCCCCTCATATCAGTGTACTCTGAAAAGGGGGAGTCATCTGGCAAAAATGTCACTTTGCCAGCTGTGTTCAAGGCTCCCATTCGACCGGATATCGTGAACTTCGTTCACACCAACTTAAGAAAAAATAACAGACAGCCCTATGCCGTCAGTGAATTGGCAGGTATGCATTTATGTTTTCCTTGGGTTGGTACTTGCAAGGGCTTTACAGTAGTGATGAAATTCCACTCCACTGGTCCGTGTTTCTGAGCCATGTGATTTCTCAGGTGTTCTGATGCTGGTTCTACCATGTATAAGTAAGTCATAGATTGGTGTGGGTTACTACCTAAAACTTTATTTCTCCTCTCAATTTTAGGTCATCAGACCAGCGCTGAGTCTTGGGGTACTGGCAGAGCTGTCGCTCGAATTCCCAGAGTTCGAGGTGGTGGGACCCACCGTTCTGGCCAAGGTGCCTTTGGAAATGTATCCTGTTTCACTACTTAACTAATCAGCAATCCATGAAATTAGCAGACTGGGCTTGTCTTGGTGTATTGATCATCATATTTTGTGGACCATTCCTGAAACTACTTGTCCCAGTTAAACAGTATAGACAATCCAGAGGTGTTTATTCATAAAGTTCTTGCAGAAAGGGCTTTATTTGAAACTTTTGCCTGCAGTGATGTTGTAATTTGCGTCTTACTCTGTTCTCAGTGACAGTTGCCTGCTGTCAATTAAAGCTGGTTCAGAAGATTGACGAAAATTGTTACTGAGCAAGACATAACCTTTTCTTAGCATCCCAAATCTGAGAGATAGAATTCTTAACAAAGAAAATAGATGTGTCGGGGAGGCCGCATGTTTGCTCCAACCAAAACCTGGCGTCGTTGGCACCGAAGAGTGAACACAACCCAAAAGCGATATGCCATCTGCTCTGCCCTGGCTGCCTCTGCCTTACCAGCTTTGGTCATGTCTAAAGGTTTGTGATACTTTGATACAGAACCCTCCTTTTATCTTTTGGTGTAAACCATAGTAAAATTGCTTGCATAAATTGTATAATTTTCAAGAGTGCCTATCTTTGCTGTGTAACTGTAGAACTGATTGGTTTTAACCCCTTCATATTCTGTACTACATTATTTTTAACTGTCAAAGTGATGAGACTCCACTTACTGGTCCGTGTTTCTGAAAAACGTGATAATTAGTGGAAATTCTGATTTGGCAGTTACTATTTTGCTTTCTTTGGTGGGTATGTGAAATGTTAATTTTCAAATTTGAGCTTAACTCTTTCAACTGTGGAATTGACTTTGTCAGGTCATCGTATTGAAGAAGTTCCTGAACTTCCTTTGGTGGTAGAAGACAAGGTTGAAGGTTACAAGAAGACCAAGGAGGCTGTTCTGCTTCTTAAGAAACTGAAAGCCTGGAATGACATCAAAAAGGTAGGTGTGGTGTGCACATTTATAGTTCTGTCGTCTTTGCTATTATGTCAGATTTGATTTTCAAAAGACAGGCATAAAGGTGGGCAGTTGATCTGTGGGTATGGGTTAAGGATTCAAAGATGGTCAAGTCCAGTTGTCTCTAGGTTACCTGGAATAAGATGTACAATATAAGGAGTGTTTAAGGGATGGTGAAGGGGGGCTGGAGAGAGAGTGCAGTGGTTAAGAACACTGATTGTTTTTGTGGGTGCCAACAATTGTCCATAACTTTAGTTCCAGGGAATCTGACAGTCTCTTCTGTCCTCCGTGGGCCTTGCACGACATGGGTGCACTTACCTACATGCAGGCAATACACACATACACATAAAATTAAAACATTTTTATTTTTATGAAGGGATGGTGATGGAAAGAAGTGCACAAGAGCAATATAGAAACATCTTTGTTTTTTCCTGTCCTTTTGATTGAATCTAGAACTTAGGATTCAGACCTGTGCAATATGCCTCTGGTTCCCCTTTTATTATCTTTATTCATTTGGTATGTGGAGGTCATAGGACAGCCAGTGATTTGTTTTTTTTCCTGTCAGAGGGTTTTACTTGCAATGATGTCGTAATTTGCGTCTTACTCTGTTCTCAGCGACAGTTGCCTGCTGTCACTAAGCTGGTTCAGAAGATTGACGAAAATTGTTACTGAGCAAGGCATAACCTTTTAATAGCCAAAATCTGAAACCTGTCATTCTTAGAAGCTTTGGTGGTCCAGCTTGCTAGAAACACCTTTACCTGCTGAGCCTCCTCAGCGGCACATGTTTTTAAACTGTAAAAGATCTGCTGGAGAGGTTATACCTTGATTGTAATACTAAAACTGCTCACTCTATAGGTCTATGCCTCTCAGCGAATGAGAGCTGGTAAGGGCAAAATGAGAAACCGCCGTCGGATCCAACGCAGGGGGCCCTGCATCATCTATAATGAGGACAATGGTATCATCAAGGCTTTCAGAAACATCCCTGGTAATGCTTGTACTATTGTGTTTTAATTGCCTCTTGTACTGTTGTGTTTTCACTACCTCTTCTGTGGGAACTTGCTCAGCTATGGTTGTGATGAGATTCCACTTCATGGTCCGTGTTTCTGAAATCCATGATTTTCTGGAAGTTCTGATAACTGGCTGAATGAGTTGCACCATTGATGGTTGGGGCATCATGATCAATAAGATAATCTTAAGTGCCTTATGAATAAAGTGGTTTCTTCTGTTGAATTAAAGGCTACCTATTTCATTTCATTCCCATTAAAGGTATTACTCTGCTTAATGTGAGCAAGCTGAATATTTTGAAACTTGCTCCTGGTGGGCATGTGGGACGTTTCTGCATTTGGACTGAAAGTGCTTTCCGGAAGTTGGATGAGTTGTATGGGACTTGGCGTAAGGCTGCTTCCCTCAAGAGTAACTATAAGTGAGTGTTTTCCTATATTTTTGCACACAGATACCTTTTCTATTTCCCATTATACATACAGTCAAAGCATGTTAAGGTGGTTAATACTCATTTAGCTCTTGTTTATGAAAATTGTGTAGTGTACATTCTGCACCTGGAGAGCTAACAAGGTTAACTAAACTTAGGTCATGTTCTTCCATTGTAGAGGTGAGAATTTTGATATCCATTGTTCTCTCCTCCCCAGCCTTCCCATGCACAAGATGATGAATACAGACCTTAGCAGAATCTTGAAAAGCCCAGAGATCCAAAGAGCCCTCCGAGCACCACGGTAAGGTTTTGATATTTACAATATGGCTCTTGCTGCACCCTCATACTGGTGATTTTAAAAGCATAATATAAATGTTGATTGATGTGTCCACTTACGTAGCAAGAAGATTCATCGCAGAGTCCTGAAAAAGAATCCACTGAAGAACCTGAGAATCATGTTAAAGCTAAACCCATATGCAAAGACTATGCGCAGGAACACCATTCTTCGCCAGGCCAGAAATGTAAGTAAAGTTTGCTTGTATGGCTGTATCAACTTCTTTAGAAAAAGTAATTAATTTTCTACCTTATTTGTCGCAGCACAAACTCCGGGTGAAGAAACTGGAAGCAGTAGCAGCAGCACTGGCAGCCAAATCAGAGAAGGGGGCAGCAGAGAAGAGGGCTGCAGCCCCTGCAGAGAAAGGAGCAGCAGAGAAGAGGGCTGCAGCCCCTGCAGAGAAGGGGGCTGCAAGCAAGAAGCCTATGGAGAAGAAGAAAGCAAAGCTGCCTGTGGATGTCAAGAAGCTGAGGGAAAGAAAGAAAAAGAAGCCTGTGGGAAAAAAGCCCGAAGCTACCAAGAAACCAGCAAGTGAAAAGAAGCCCGCAGCAAAGAAGCCTGCCACAGAAGAAAAGAAGCCTGCTGCATAACCTATTGAAATCTCTATTCCATAAAGAGCAAATAGAGACAATGTATTTGAATAAAGACCTGATCAAACATTCAGTGAGAAACTGTGAATCTTAGTTTTTGTTGGTTTTTTTTTTTTTTTTTTTTTTGCATTTATTTGTGGGGAGAGGGCACAGTGATATATGAAGATCAGAGGACAACTTAAGGGTGGTCTGTTTTCTCCTTCCATTAGTAGGTTCTTGGGTCATCAGGGTTGCAGGATAAGCACCTCTTCCTGCTGAGCCATCTTGTAGGCGTAAAGACTGTTAGAACTTTATTCCAAGTACCTAACTGTAGTTGAAGCCGACTGATTCCATACATTTGAATTGAAGAGGGATTGAACCATAAGGCAGTCCATTCTATTAGTTATGAGCAACAGTTTAGGCTCCTGGGTTGGTGAAATGGCTCAGCAGTTAAGACCCGAGTTTGAATCCCAGCACCCACATGGCAGCTGACAACTGTCCGTAACTCCGGTTCTAGGGGATCAGACATTGCAGACATAGCAGGACATAGGTGCACTTAGAGGCAATACACGCATATGTAAAAATAGGCTCCTGAAGAGGGAGGTGCTTAGGTTGCAAAAGTCCACAATTTAACCGCAAGAGGGCATAATGGTACCAGTGAACTTTGAAAATGTAAATATGCCCCGGCGCGGTTCCGGACATGGCTGCCAGCGGCGCCCTCGGCTACTTCCGGCAATTGGAAATGTCGTCATCACCAAGCGCCACACGGGAGGCTGTGGTCTAAGGAGGGACCATGTTGAGCCGGCTTCAGGAGCTCCGCAAGGAGGAAGAGACGCTGCTGCGGTTGAAAGCGGCCCTGCACGACCAGCTGAACCGCCTCAAGGTGAGCGCTGCCCGGCATGTCCTGGCGGGGGGGTCCGCGGTGCCATGCGGGCACCTGACCTCCGGAAAGCTTCTTTGCGGCTGGTAGGCTCCGCCCCTCCTCATCCTGATCCAGGTCTGCGGCTGGGTGAGCTCCCCGCAACCCCAACCTACCTCCGCCCCGATCCCGTGTGTCCTACACATGGTCACGCTCGGTACTCTGAAGACAGTGCTCCCCGGAGGCTCAGCTAGGTACGGTCCGGCCCCCGGCCCACGCCTGGGCAGCTGGTAACTGGGGCGTGTTGGCGCTGAAGAGGGTTCTAGTATTGCAAAGGGGAATCTTCCTATCCTCCCGCCACTTACTCAGGCCTTAAGGAGGAATGTAGATTTAGGTCCATTCTGATCACTTCCTATGCCTATTGGGAATTCATGAAATGGTCATGGTAATCCCTGCTCAGCACCGGTTTTCAAATCTTTAAATACAAATACTAGGATTACAAAAACACTTTATAAACCAAAGACCATTGTGCAGCCCTGACATAGCAAAATGGTAAGCAGTTTTCCCCAGGGACATTATAAGGGCCCACATTTGTCTCCATATTGCTACAAGTACCTAATAATTGCGTCTTGAAGATGATCTCCCAAACCCAAGTGCCCTGATGCTCCAGGAGACACATTTTCTGTTCTTATCTTCACCTGATTATGCAGGAGACAAGCTTTGGCCTGGGAATTCAACTAAGACTGTAACACCTAACACCTGGCTTTTTGTGTGTGTGTGTGAGGCAAGGCCTCACTGTGTAACCAGGCTGGTCTTGAATCTACAGTGTAGCCCAGGCAGGCCTCAAAGTTGTGATATTGTTGCCTCTACCTCCCCAGTGCTGGGATTTACAGGCATGCAGTAAAACCTGGCTTTTTTGTTTCTTTATTGCTTTGTGGAGGTTTTTTTTGTTTGCTTATTTATTTTTTTTTTAATTTTTATTTATTTATTTTTTTTGAGACAGGGTCTCCCGGTAGACCCAACTGTCATGGAACTTGCTATGTAGACCAGGCTGGCCTCAGTCTCACTAAGATCCACCTCCATCTGCCTCCAGAGAGCTGGGCCTAAAGAGGTGAACCACCACACCCTACCTGTTGTTATCTTTGAGAAAGGAACTCAGTAAGTATCCCTGGTTGGCTTAGAATGCCCAGCCTCAAACAGAGATCTGGAGTGCTGGGATTAAAGGTGTAGGCCACCACACCTGGCTCAAATTGGGGCATTTTATGGAGCACCTGCATTTCCTTCCTGAGCTGCTAGGTCTGGGGAAGTGGAAGTCTTATGACTCAGTTACCTGAACAGCCCAAAAGAGAAAAGCTGGAATCTGCTTCTTTCCCTAACAAGGTAAAGCTTAAGCTCTCCTGTACCTTTTCTAGAGCGGTATCAAGATTATAGGCTGTTCCCTCTCATGATGCCATGTACAGCATACCAAGGAATTCACTCATATCAACCCTACAAAAGACTCACAAAAGTGTCAACTCTTTCTTTCTTAGGTTGAAGAATTGGCCCTCCAATCAATGATCAGTTCTAGAAGAGGAACTGAGATGCTGTCCTCTCAGTGTGTACCTGAACAGTCTAATGATGTAAGTTTAGTCAGGCTTTCAGATAGAATGCAGGGTCCCCAGGTTCGAATCCCAGCACCCACATGGCAGCTAACAACTGTCCGTAACTCCAGTCCCAGGGGATCTGACAGCTTCTTCTGACCTCCTCAGGCATTTCACAACACAGGTGCACTTACCTACATGCAGGCAATACACAGGCATACACATAAAATAAAAATAATAAATTTAAAATTAAAAAAAAAAAGAATGCAGGGTCCCGCTGACAAATACTATAGGGCAAATTACCAAGCCCGAGGACCCTGGGAAGTGCCAATCAAAAATTTTGGAAGGTGGGGGAGTATGATGGGGATTGAACTGGGGAACCTCACAAGTAGCAGGTATGAATTCTCCCTGTGAGGTACATCTCCAGCCCCGCATCATAATTTTCTAGATTAATAAATTAGTACTCTACATTAATTTTTCATGCAAGGAAGAGCCCATATAGCTATCAGCTGGTTACACTAGCTGATTTAGGCAGTGTAACCTGCCTCCTAGTCATCCATTCTCTCCCTAGGAATATGGTGTATTTTGGTGGTGGTGGTGGTGGTTTTTGTTTTGTTTTGAAGCCTTGAACTTTTTTTTTTTTTTTTTGGTCTTTTTGAGACAGGATCTCCCTGTTCAGCTGGTCTGGAACTCACCAGGCTGGCTTTGAACGCACAGAGATCCACCAGCCTCTGCCTCCCAGTGCTGGGATTAAAGGCGTGTACCACCAAGCCCGGTGGCCTTGATCCTCTTGCCTCTACCTGAGATGTTAGTTTAGAAGCTTACCTCTTTATAGGAATACATCCTAACTTGGTGCTTTGGAAGAGTGGCTTCAGCTACAGAGCAGAAGGCTACAAGATGAGTGGCAAGCCTCATCCTATCCCACTCACTAAGTGCCTTCAAAGAAGCCAATAAAATTGTTTGCTTTCTAAATACACCATATTTGGGCATTCTGGATGCTGTGTGTTAAACCATTTCATCCACAGAATCATTTTGTTGACAGTTTCTAAAAGAACTATGTTGTCAAAATTGTTCAAACAATTTTGGTTTGTTTATTCTTCCCCCATTCTGACAGTGGGGATGAGGATAGAATTTAGAGAAACAGAAAACAGGAAGGTGGTTGTACCTCTTGTCATAAAATGGGATGTCCTAGTTTGTTTCTTCATTGCTGTGACAAAACACTCTGACCAATACCAGCTTGGGGAGGAAAGGGTTTATTTAGTTTACATATCCCAGGTCATAGTTCATCGGTGAGCCCAAGGTAGGAACCTGGAAAGAGGAGCTGGAGCACAGGCCATGGAGGAACACTGTTTACTGGCTTACTCCCCTGGCCCCTGCTCAGCCTGCTCTCTTATGCAACACAGGCCCACCTGCCCAGGGGTGGCACCACCCACAGTGAGCTGGGCCCTCCCACATCACTCGTCAAGAAGATGCCCCTCAGACATGGCCACAGGCCAGTCCAATAGAGGCAATTCCCCAATTGAGGCTCCCTCAACCTAGGTATGTCAAGTTGACACTATAGCTATCCAGCACACGGGATGTATATACAAGTGAGATTTTTTTTAAAAAAGGACAGAGGTTAAGAGCATTGACTGCTCTTGCAGAGGACCTGGGTTCTATTCCCAGCACCCACACAGCAGCTAACAACTGTAATTCCAGTTCCAGGAGAATCCCATGCTCTTCTCTTCTGACCTCCATGGGCATTGCATGACATGGTGCACTTACACACATGCAAGTAATACACTCATACACGTAAAATAAAAATAAGGAAGAAAACATTGGCGCACTCCTTCAATCCCGGTGTTTGGGAGGCAAAGGCACACGGATCTCTGTGAGTTCAAGGCCAGCCTGGTCTACATAGTGAGTTCCAGGACAGCTAGGGCTACAGGGAGACCCTGTCTCAAAAAGACCAAAAAAAAAAAATCTTTTAATTATATGTATGTCTTTGAGTGTGTGCAGGTGCTTGCAGAGACCAGAAGGGAGGCTAGGAATTGTGAGGTGCCCAATGGGCGTGCTGGGAACTAAACTCTGGTCCTCTGGAAGAGCAGCAAGCACCCTTAGCCACTCATCCATCTCTCTATAGCTACACAAATGAGATTTGATTTTGAAGACATTTTAAAGAATTTACAGTTTTGAGGTCAGGATCCTTCCTAATCCAAATGCTCTTGTTTTACACAGATGTTGATGCATGTAGACAACGAAGCATCAATCAACCAAACCGAACTGAAGTTGAGCACAAGGAGCCCTATGATGGAGGAAGAAGAGGAAGAAGAGGAAGAATCTGATTCCTAAAGGGAGACGGGAGCTAGGGCTAGTTGCACAAACTACAGTTCTAAGTCTCAGGCACTTAATCTCTTCAAAGAAGTCCTGGCCTTGAGCCTGATGGCCTACTTGAAAAAGAAGCAAGAACAATAGGAGGGTATGTGCTTATAAATGGCTTCCATCAATAACTCAAGCTCCAGAGTGCTTTAACGAAAATTAGTGTCAAAAATCAAAGATGCAGTGTCTTAACATTTGACAAGCACTTTGATGGTACAGACTATAATCTAGCCAGAGTTGCTAATTGTGCTAAGAACAAAATTTCCTCTGAAATGCCATTGAAAAAGGCATTTGCAAAAGGGCAGAGTTTAAATACAAGCCAGCCTTTAAAGTCCACAAAGATTCTTTTAAGAAAACCAACTAAAGCCTGTTTGCATGCCATTGAGCGTGCATTCTGAGTTAGGGATAGTTCAAGAAAAATGTCAAGGGAAGGAGAGAGGGCCACTTGAGCTGCTACCTCTCAGATGCACTGCCCTCCACAGACTGTTCTGTGTGGCTGTTACCACATAGAGTTTGAAACTTCACTGGTAAATGTGTATAGGAGGGCTGGAGAGATGGCTCAGCAGTTAAGAGCACTGGTTGCTCTTGTAGATGACCCACCTTCAGTTCCCAGCACCCACATAGCTGCTGACAGCTGTCCATAACTCCAGTTCCAGGGCATCCGATGCCCTCGTCTGACATTACACGAAATGGGCACACTTACCTACATGCAGATAATACAGTCATACATATAAAATAAAAATGAATTTCTAAAAATGCCTTTAGGAATAAATTACAGATAAGTAGCACTCATGGAGTTTGCTGGTCTCCAGACACAAAAGAAAGTAACTCCTTTGGAAGCTGAAAAGAGGTCTTAACCCTCCTCCACCACCACCCTCAACCCCCGGCCTAAGGAGAGGAAAGCTGCCCTTAAAGAAGCAATCGCTATCCTCAGGAAATTGAGTTTTATAATAGCTACAAAACAAGAGTTGTTTGAATCTACAGTTGAGATTTGCTTCTGCAAATTGCCCCTTTCCACTGACTGCTAGTTCCTCATTCTGGAAGGCCTATTTCCTGTCCCAAAAACAGACAAGGCAAACAAAACACAAAGCATCCCCTCAAGCAGAACTTCCAGAGAAAACCATGGAGACATGTTTGTGGTTGTTAATCAACATTTCATTAATTATAAGCTATTCTTAAAGGAAACATTTTTAAGTGAGTGTCTTCTTGGAACATAGGAGCTGTTGGGGACAAACATCAAAAGATACATTTTAGGGGTGTCAGTTAAAATATAAGTACTTGTTTTGAGACAGGATCTCACAGTGTTCTACCAGCTGGCCTCAAACTGCCCCTGCCTCCTGGATTGAGCATGATTTTTAGAGCTGGAAATACCTCTCTCACCTGGCAGCTCTCACTTCCCCACCTATGAAGTGAAGATACTCTCTCCAGCAGTTTCACAAGTTGTAAGGTGCTAATGATGCTTTAAAATCCATCTGTCATGGTGGAACTACAAATGCTTGCACTTAAGAGGACACTAGGCATGTGGTTCTGTCTTGTCTTTTGAGACAGTCTCTGTAGCCCAGGCTGATCCCATACTCAGTAATCTTGCCTCCAAAATGCTGGAATTACAGGTGTGTGCCACCGCAGTAGAAAACATCATTCTTGAAAATACTGTGGTAAAAATTACTGTGGAAGAAAATTCTTTTGACTGAAAAATGTAATTTTGGATGTGGAGGTCTTGGGAGGTGGCGGGGGTGGTGAGGAAGGTTGGTAGTATCTGTACACATGGAGGCCAGACGTGAATCAAGGGTGTCGTTTCTCAACCACCTTGATTTTGAGACAGGATTTCTTACGGCTTGCAACTCACCAACCAGGCTAGACTGGCTGTCTGCACCTTATCCATAACACTGGTTACAACCACCACCGCTACCATACCCAGCTTTTCAGGATCTCATGCTTGTGTGACAAGCACTTAACTGATAGCCATCTCCCCAGCCCTGAGAAGATGGATTTTCAATCTAACCCCTTCCTGCCCCCAAAGGTCATAAAAGCATTTAGATCCAAGTTTGATTTTAATTTTAATATTTCTTACTGGGGGTAGATGTGTATGCCAAGGTGCAAATGTAGAAGCCAGAGGATAGCTATGCAGTCAGTTTGCTCACTTTCTGGAGATTGAACTCAGATTGCCAGGCTTCCAGGTTTCTGTGGCAAACACCTATACCTGCTGAGTCATTTTTGCCAACCCCATGAGATACAAATGTTAAACACTAGGTAACTTTACGGTCCTTCCTGCAGAGGCAGTTAGTTCATTTTAATGAGACACTGTTGGCCTCCTAGCAAGAAACAATGATTGACTAGCTTATGCAGCAGTGTATATAACACTTTATAGTCCTGGCTATACCCAAGCTCTAGTATTTCAAGTGCAACTACCCTACTCAAGTGATTGTGTATGCAGTTTTTTTTTTAACTTTTAAAAAACTTTTGAGAATTTCATACATGCATATAAGGTGGTTTGGTTTTTTTTTTATTTTTTTCTTTTTGAGAGACAGGGTCTCCCTATAGCCCCAGCTGTCCTGGAACTCACTATGTAGACCAGGCTGGCCTTGAACTCACAGAGATCCGCCTGCCTCTGCCTCCTAAGTGCTGGGACTACAGGCGTGCACCACTACTCCCTACCCTCCAACACCTCCCATATCTCCCCGTCACTTTTTTCTGACAACTATGTGTTTTTCTTTTTCTTTTTTTCTTTTAATGGGGCTTTTTGCTACTCTAACATTCCCCCCACTGAAGAGGTAACCCTTAAAATCTTTTAGGGATTAGATAAGAGCTCCCAAATACTTTTGACATTTTGGGCCTTTGGAAGAGTATGTTGCTAAGAGGCCCAAGGACATTTTGACTTTTAGCCAAAAACTGGTCACTTTTGAGGCCTTTTTACCCTAACTGCCTAGCCAATTCCTGCCTCTACTACCACACCATCCTCTGAAGAAGTTACCCAAATTGCCAAGAGGGAATTGGGATGCAGTTTGTTTTAAAATCTAAAAATGAAATAGTTCATTTATTTTTAAAATATACATTGTGGAGCATTAGGAGATGGCTGAGTCAGCAAAGTGCTTGCCACACAAGCATGAGTGTCTACCATGTAAACACGAGGATATATACTAGAAGAAATTAAGGAGTACTGAGTCTCACAGGTACCTGAACCAAGTCGCCTTTGTAAGGAAAGGGCACTAGTGGCTAGTAGGGAAATAGCTTTTATTTCCTTTTTTGTCTTTTTGAGACGGTTTCCCTGTAGTCCCAGCTGGCCTGGAACTTACTATGTAGATCAGGCTGGCCTCTGCCTCCCAAGTGCTGGGACTAAAGGCACGTGCCACCACTCCGGGCTGGCTTTTATTTCTTTAACATCTATTTTGGCCAGATGTGATGGGACACGCCTTTAATCCCAGCACTCAGGAGGCAAAGGCAGGCAGATTTCTAAGATGGAGACCAGCCTGGTCTACATTACATAGTGAGTTTCAGGCCAGCTGTGGCTATAGGGAGACCCTGTCTCAAAAAGACCCAAACAAAAACAAAAATGTTTATTTTGTATGTGTGGGCACATGTGCCACAGACGAAGCTTGTGGGAAGTGGTTCTTTCCTTCCACTGTGTCAGTCCTGAGCATTAGACTTAGGTTGTCAGATTTGGCAGCAGGTAGCAAGTGCCTTTTTGGACATGCTCAGTTGTGCTTGCAGAGGCCAGACGAGGGTATCGGCTCCCTTGATCCCTCAGAGCTGAAGCCCAGCTTACGTGGGTGCTAGGATAAGAACTCTGATCCTGATGGCTGCACAGCAGGCACTCTTAACCACTGAGCCATCTCTTCAGTCCCCCACAGCTTATTTTTCTGACTCCTGCAGCCTCACATGTTGGGGTTCTCTGTTATGCAAAGTAGAAGTCTCTTCACGTCCGGATAGCTCACGGAAACCATGTGCTGCAGATTCCTTTTCATAGCAGAGTGCCTTCCTGGCATCCTCCCTGACTCTTCTTTTAAAGTGCTCGCCACAAATACATGCCCTCCGGCACAGGAGCTACCAGGTTTTTAATCAGGCGTTGTCTGATAGCCTGATAGAAGCCCACCGCCCTATGTAAATGAGGCATCCTAAAAGTACCTATCAGCTAAGGCTTCTTCTGCTGTCTCTACACTATAAATAGTCATAGTTTTACCCCAATAAAGTTGGAGCTGGAGCTGAATCACTGAGATCTAAGCTGAGTCACTTGTCTTGAGCTGTAACACTAAATCCTGTGATCCAGTCTCCCCGGGGGGCGCTATTCCTCCGTAGACGACTCGCGGACACCCTGGCTTTCGCCATCCCTCGTACGCTTCCCGTGTGGTCCAAGTGGCCAGTGGACCTCACATCCTGAGGAAGGTATACGGGTGAAATAGGGACGAGATCGACTGAGTAGACCTCAGTAGCGGAGGAATTTTCACTGCCCAGGAGTGTGCGCTGGGACCCTGAGAGCCCAGCGCGTGCTCGCCTATATCACAGGCATGACAAAGCTAGCGCCTGCAGTATCTGTCTTCTCCAGGAAGATGTGGTTAAATAAAAATTAACAAAATATTTTTTAAAAGTTTTATCATTTTGCTCAGACATGTTCCTAACCCCACCTATAGGTTTTTCTTTATATGAAGAGATGGAACTTGTTCACAGGTCCAAGGAAGGTAGTGGGAGTCACTGGTAAACAGTGGCATGAAAGGTCACTGCATGAGATCAGTCCAGAGACTGAAATTGCAGGAGGCCCATTAGCACAGGGCTGTTAACTGGCATTTCTGCCTTTCACTGTGTCCTTCCTGTCCTTCCTTTTCCCCCATCTCAGTACATGGCTAAATCATTTGCTTTCTTGTATTCTAGAGATTGAAAGTCCTGCCACAAAGCAGAAATATCTTTTGTCCTTTTTGTTTTAACTTGATATAATATTTTATTAGAATAAGAGATTAGATTTGATAAACATCTGGGTTAAAATGGTTAAAAGGATTTTTCATACAATTTTTAGGCACTATACACGTTTACAATAGCGTTGGTGCTTAGATTGGAGGGAAGATAGAGAAATCTGACACATTTTAATGCTTTGATTCATTTGTGACATTCAAAATAACTCCACCATTTTAGAAACACAAATCCAAACTTAAAGAGACATCTACCACTAAGTACCCCACACGGTATATTTAAAAATAAATATAGAAATACAACCAGAAGTCTACAGATCATCACAGTAGACAGACTGGTGAAGCCCCGGCTATCATGGCAGTGATGGGCTCTGGTTAGATTTTTAATGGAAACTGCCAAGTTCTATACCAAAAGCAGAAGTGTAAAAAATGCCACGATGTACACTCTGATGCTTTCAGTAGCAGCGAAGCATGCTTCCCATGCACTGCCTGTGGAGGGCCTCATGAGGCTCCCTCCCTCACACAGAGGGGAGGTCACTCAGCAAGACTGAAGTACCAAGGGTCCAAGAATCCTGACAGCACAGGCGGCCAGTCAGAGAGCAGTAACAGCAGTGCAAACGTCAGTAAGAACAACAACCCGGTCACCAGGGTTTCAAGAGTTCAGCCTGCATGTGTTTTGATCAACATACAAATAGCCCCAAGCACAAAGCCAATCCACTTAGGGGAATAACCATAGTAATAAAGACAGTAATGTTAAGAAACAACACAAGTACAATTTGGCACATGCTGTGTTCGGCATCCTTTGTCACAGGTGAAATGCACATCTGAACAGAGACAAGCATGGGGGAGAGGCCTGATAGCAACATGGCATGCCACCGGGCAGAGGACTGCTGCTTCCCACAGGCTCACATGCCAGCCATGTGGGTTGGTGTGCTGGGCTGGTTAAGGCCAATGGTGGAACAGAGCCACCCTGCAAAGTCTACCTCCTCAGCATCAGATCTCTTGATGAAAGCATGAACCTGTGTACAATAAACAGGAGAGGAAATGCTGTTATAAAACATAAAGCAAGAGCAGGCCTGTGCCCCACTCAGAAGGAGCTCCAGATGCCCACCCCTAACAGTAAGCAAGCCAGTGACAGCCCAAAGGCTCACTGCCATAGCTGTGATCTTAGGTGAGTACCTCGTCTCTGAGCTACTCACAGGCTTGTTAGAAGGGACACAGGCCAGGGGAGGGCTCATGTGTTATGTTGTGCAGGCCATACAGGGCACATGAGTAGATAAGATAGTACAGCCTCTACCACCAAACAAGGAAGTGGAGAGGAGGATGGTGGAAATAAAGTGAGCTAGTCAGTACAGGTAAAACGGCCTGTCCCCAGGCACACCCTTCCTCCAGCCTCCCAGCCCTGGGTCATGCCAGCTGCCTTTAACTCATGGGAGAACGGAGACCGATGTCTGGCATTGTGCATCCCCAGACCCAGACCCAGCTGAACTAACTACAGTAATCAGAGCAGAGCAGAAATCTCTTGAGAAGTGCTGAGCAGAAGACCAAGACCAAATGAACAAACAGGTTCTTTAAGAATGGAAAATAAAGAGACTCACCATGAGTTGCTTCAGATCTGCTCTCTCTGCAGGGTTCTTTATTAAACTGAAAAGAAGAAAGCTAATATGAGCACTACTGCCTGGCACTGGTTCCTCATTCACCGTGCTTGTGTCTACAAGCCCGCCCCTTAAATAATGAAGGCTGAGTGAGGTGTGCCTGAATTCTACTTATCTTCCTTTCTAGGTACATTACCATACCCACAGAACAGTAACATAGTCTTACTGAGTTAAACAAGAGGCAAATGGTGAGAGTAGCAACCAGGACCAGAAGTCATGGGTCTCAGCACTAGGAACTGTTATGGCAAAGGGCAAGGCGGGGTGGGGATGGTCTCGGAAACAAGGAATAAACTTACCATTTATTCACAAAATCTTGAAATTCCAGACTGAATACTCCACTGGGCAGTTTTGGAGGAGGCTGCAAATACATGTCAACACTTGAGACATACCTGGGTCCTGCTCTGGCCATCTCCCCTTCATACCTGTCCCAGAAAAGAAGCCTTGGGAAGTCTAGCTGCCTCCTGGCTCTCTGTTGGGACCACTGGTCTCACACAGCACCATTAGAACTGGGACCACATCAAGTGCTTTACCACTCTGGTAACTGAACAAATCATGTTCCTCTCTGAGCCTATTTACTATGAAATGAGGAGGCTGTGCTGTTATCTCTGGGACCCTCTCAGCTTAGACACTATAAAAAGTAAGAGTTGCCGGGTGTGGTGGCACATGCCTGTAGTCCCAGCACTTGGAAGGCAGAGGCAGGTGAAGTTCAAGGCCAGCCTGGTCTACATAGCAAGTTCCAGGCCGGCTGGGGCTACAGGGAGACCCTGTCTCAAAAAGACCAAAAAAACATTTTTTTTCTTAAAGCTCTTTTTCTTTTTGGCTCTTTGAGACAGGGTCTCATTCTGTACTGGGGTTAGCCTGATCTCACTCAGCACTCTTCCTGCATCAGCCTCCCAGCTGCTGGGATTACAGGCAGGAGCCACCACACCCAGTGGTCATCTTTCATGTAATTAATAATCAATGTTCTGCATCTATTTCTATAGTCACAGCTTTTAAATAGTGTTTATAATTCAAAAACAAAAACAAAACCTGTATTGTGGTTCTGCATGCACTAGCCTCCCCTCTCCCATACAATCTAATGGTCATAGGGACTAGGAGCTCTAGCTTTTCCATCTTTGGTTCCTAGTCCACTCACCCCAACCCACATTCCCTGTGCTCAGAACTTAGTGACTACACTAGGCAACCTGGTAAGTGAAGACAGGCAAACTACTTTTTTTGTTGTTTGGTTTTTTTGAGACAGAATCTCACTATGTAGACCAGGCTGACCTGGAACTCAGAGATCTTCCTGCATCTGCCTCCTGAGTACTAGGATTAAAGGTGTGTACCACCATACCCAGCACAACTACTTTGTAAGAGGAGTAAACACATGCCTAGGCAGTACTTACCTCATTGACTATGTAATCCAACAACTCAAAAATTGCCATGGGAGGTCGGCTGTCCATTCCATAAGCTGCAGATTTATTTAAAAAAAAAAGAAACGAAAAAGACACTTATAGGAACAGACAAGAACTTACTTGTCAATACAAGGCAAGGGGTAATGCACAGATTGTGAACAGTAAATAGAACCACCATGGACAAGGCCTGAACACAGAAGGAAACCAGCTAGCTAGGCTATCAATGAGTTCTATAAAATAGAATCAGATGGCCCCTTTATCTGCCCATCTTCCTTTCCTACATTTCCAGAGAAGCCAATGAGATAACTAAGTAAGTAAAGAACTTAGTATTTGGGCTTGGCTTGGTTTACAGTCTGCAGAGCCCATAGCCTATGCTGTGAACACCCCATACCACGTTACCAAATCCATGTAAGGCAAGTGCTCTACCACTAAGCCAACTCCCAGGCCCAGAACTTGTTTTTTGTTTGTTTGTTTTTGTCTTTTTGAGACAGGGTCTCCCTGTAGCCCCAGCTGGCCTGGATTCACTATGGAGACCAGGCTGGCCTCGAACTCACAGAGATCTGCCTGCCATTGCCTCCCGAGTGCTGGGATTAAAAGCATGCACCACCATACCCGGCCAGAACTTGTTTTAATTCTCCCTGAGCATGGGTTTCTTCCTGTCCTGCCCCTCTAACAGCTGGTCATGGGCATACTCTCTCCCATGTGGACATCATCAGGATAAAGTCCAAGTCTCCCTGGCCAGTTGGGAACTCTTAGCAGAAGCCATATAAACACGAGAAGGCTATAAGACTCCTCCCTGAGCACAGGGGACTTCAGTGTTCATATTCAGAGGCACACACTATTACCATGTCTACCACCTTAGCCATCAGACCAGCTACTTCTTACAAGTCCTGCCAAGGTAAGTGTGCTGTGCCTCAATTTCCTCTTCTCTAAAGCAGAGATCATGGTAGTGCTCACGGGCAGACAGCTATTAAAATTAGAAGATGCTAGGCAGATAGATTCATGGAGAGAAGTAGATCACAGGTTGCCAGGGGATGGGTTTGGGGAAAAGTGGGAGTGACTGGTAATGGAGAAAGGTGACCTGAGGTCAATAAAAATGTTCTAGAATGAAGTTGTGGTAGTGGCTCATGACTGTTTTTTAATTTTATGTGTAGGAGTATGTTGCCTGTGTGTATAAGTGCACCCGTGTCATGCAATGCCCATGGAGGTCAGAAAAGTATCCGATCCCCTGGAACTGGAGTTATTACGGACAGTTGTTAGCCATCATGTGGGTCCTTTGCAAGAGAAGCAGCCATTGCTCTTAATCACTGAGCCATCTCTCCAGCCCTTGTTATGTGACTCTTATCATAATAAAAAACAAATCTACCAAAAACCTGATTAAAAAGCAAATTTAATGTAGATCCAGGGCTAAGCACAGCACTTAGATCACAGCAAGTGTTCAACAGATGCTGGGTGTTGTTTGTACAAATGGTAACTTCCTATACCTACCTAGGGACCTCTGCTGCTCCCCCAGGCCTGGCCTACTCCAAAAGAGAAGCAGTGCTGGCAGTGTTCAGAGGACCTGCCACTCAGAAAGCCCTGACATTGAGACAACCACCCCCCTCCACTCCTCCCTGGGGATAGCAGGCCACTCACAGCTGAGGGGCCTCCCAGGGGTCCTTGGCCTGGGTGGTGTCTCGGCCGCATCTCCCTCCACCTGGCATCCAAACAGGAGCTCCAGCTCCTTGGCATCAGGAGGAGGGATGGGGTACCTCCCAACCGCCATCTCCACCAGAGAGAGTCCCATGCTCCAGATGTCCGACTGCACGGAGTAGTGAGTCCCCTGGAGTCTCTCCGGCTGAGAGAGAAAACAGTTACAACTGCAACATTAGCCAAGATCATGGTCTTTACTTTCTCCTCCCCCTTTTTCTGGAGCGTTCACATAGCTTCAACAGTGCCTCCAACCAACTGGATATGGCCTCCCACTCACCCCATACCATGTTTACCAAATTCATGGCTCTGACCCCTCCTTATTGCTCTATGTCCCCTGAACTGGGCCTCAACTGGCAGTATCCAGAGTCAGGCCCTGGCTGCCTACGGTTTCAGCTTTGCCCAGCCTAGCCCTCATCCTCTGCTCTGCATGTACAGAGCAGCCTGTCCTAAACCCAGCATGTCCCTTTTGTCTGAAACATGAAGTCAGTACAAATGGGTTATGAATCAGCTGGTGCAGTGGGCAGAAAGAAGGAAGATCTGGGGTCAGGGGGGCCTGGAGATCAAATTCCATCTCTGGGACTTACATGCTATAGAATTCTGAGTCTTAATCTACTTAATCTACAAAATGGGGATGTTGCTGCTAACAGTAACAATGACATGAAAACATGCTTAGATGATGAAAAATACTAGGTAAAATACCTGTTGACAATGGTGGGAAGTGGCAGAGAGAAAACAGCAATAACAGTATTATAGAAAGCATTTTTACTGAGCAATATTCAAGGAAATTTGTATTTCTTTTTTTTGGAGACAGGGCCTCCCTGTAGTCCCAGCTGGCCTGGAACTCATTATGTAGACCAGGATGGTCTTGAACTCACAGAGATCCTGAGGCGGGCCTCAGCTTCCCAAATGCTGGGATTAAAGGCATGCATTATCATACCCAGTAAGTCATGTATGTCAAGAACCCCACAAAACAACCTTTACTCTGACCACAGGGCATTCATTAGACATCAAATTAACTTCTCCCATGGGATTTTTCTCACCTCTTCTAACGCTGGACTACTTTGAAACTGACCACATAACCATAAAAACCCAACCACTAAACCCTGGATCAATAAGTCCCAGGGTTTGTTAGTTGAGTTTGAATTTGAGAGTTGACAGCTGAGTGGCTCAGGGCACTAGCTGCTCAGCTTCCAATCTAGGGAAGAAGTACTGAAGGGGCAACAAAGAACACAAGAGCTCTCCTGTGAGCCACTGGAGTACGGGGTTAGCAGTGGTGTGATACTGACAACAAATGGAGTCACAGTAAGGATAGGGGAGCAGTAAGGAGATGGACATGTCCCCCACCAACACATACACACACGCACGCACACACACAAGGTCTTGGGCTGCTGGCTTCACAAGATTAGGTATGTGGGTCACGTGACCTCCCTAGATCTATCTGTCCTCACCTCTGATAGGGAATCCATAATCTTTACTGGTGACACAGCTGTAGGGATGAACTAAGACATCTGAGGATATGAGCATGCTTTGGCAGTGTGCATAAAGTGCTCTGAGCCTCAGGCCTGTCCCCTGCCATCTGGACCTGCACTTCTCCCTTAGCTCTATGAAGGCTGCCCTCATGCTAAAACCTTCCTCTGTATTGCCTCTGAAGGCCCCATACCATACTTCCATCCTTCCCAGCCAAGCTCAGGAACATGCTATCTGAGGACCCTTCCATTCAGTCAACCCCACATCACTCTGTCAGCAGGCATTGCCCTAATACCCACCACATGCTGGACCCCTGCCAGGCCCCAGAAAAGATGCTTCTGCTGCCTGGGCTCTCCCAGGAGCTTGCTATACAGGAAAGGAAGACTTCAGTGATGGGATGATTATGGGCATGGACGGGAACAGCAGCATGCAGCACTCAGGTGCCAGCAGAAGCCAGCAGAGTTGTGCTCAAGAGGCAAGACTGCCAAGATAGAGGTATTGGCTGAGCTAGAGCAGGCTGTAACCAGGAATCAGATGGAAGGCAGGTAAGTGACTGGGAGACATGCAGTGAAGAGGGAGAAAAGAGGCAGGATAGAAGAAACAATTCCAAACATATTCTCTGGAACAGAGCCACTAGAGGTTAAAAGGCTGGGACCAACAGCCATGGGACAGTTGGGATGTGGTCATGTCCAAGTATCTTCAGTTAAAGGCCTGACAGTCAGGTAAGATGTCCAAGTGTAGGTTGACTCTCAGTTCCTTCAGAATGGAAGCCAGGCTCTGGAGCTGGGATGGTACAATCTCTTCTAGTGACTGAGACACCAACTGTGCTTGAAAGCTTGTAAAAGGAAGTCACTTTCACTCCAGGGGCCCAGTGCGCCTCATCCCTCATTTCTTAACCCCTATACTCATCGCCGTGGAGCACAAGACTGTAGCTCTGTGAAAATGGGGCTGCTGATGGTAAGAATGGAGTCACCTGGCCCCTACTCTGAACCACCAAGACATTGGAAAAATGGAACTGCTGTTCATACCGACATGTAGGACCTCGTGCCCACAAAGGAGTTGGCCATGGAGTCAATGAGCTGCCCGCTGACCCCAAAATCACAGAGCTTGATCTCCCCACGGGAGTTCACTAGGATGTTGGAGGGCTTGACATCTGCAGAAAAAAGAAAACAGGAATTGAGAGAATTAATACAGGGTAGTTTGGGGAGGAAAAGAGGCAGCACCCACCCTGCAGACAGAGAGAACAGCTAAGTCCCAGGACCACATCACATCCCCATTACAGGTAGCCCTTGACTTGCAGCAAGGGCCAGTAGGCAACAGAAGCCTATTTTGAGGATGCAGACCTGGCCACGTGACTCTCTAGACGGAGTCAGTTATCATCAACAGTGAAGATTTCAAAGTCCCTTGTTTCAAGTACTCCTACTAGCAAGACAAAGTATATGACTACAGCTCAATGGCTAAAAGGAAGGGCTATATAGGATGGGAATTCCCATCAGTTGGAAGCTGACTTAGGATTTTTCTCTCATTGAAGTCTGTCACCTATCAGGCCACATAGCCATACCCAAGGAAGGCCCTCTGCTTCCCAGAGCAAGACAGCTGAGAAGACTGAAAGCCCCACCTGGGGTTAAGGCAGTGCCTAGCACCAAGCCATCCTCTTCCATGTATGTCCACCCTCACCCTGCCCCATGCCTGTCTGCTGTCACCCACACAAGACTACTGATCGTTTGCAGAGACAGGCAAACTCCCACAGGTCCCTTCTCCCATCATGTCCTCAGACTGAATAACTGCCCTGTAAAGTGAACAGACACAGACATGACCCTCATTCCCAGACTGGGACTTGGCAGAGGTCCTTGGCCAGGGCTTAGTGATCACCAAACAAGGCTCATGAAGGAGTACACCCAGACCCAGGGACAAAACCTGAAACCACAACAGGGAATCTTTATTAGAAGTAATATGGACACTGCCTAGAACAGCAGAGAAAAACCTCACACAACTCATAATGCCAATCTACCAGGCCCAGTAGGGCCACTATTAATATTTTATTGTTTTTTCTGTCAGTACTCTTTCATATGAATATATTCTTTTTTAAAATTTTTATTTATTATTTTTATTTTATGTGCATGCGTGTGTTGCCTGCATTGTACCCGTGTCATGCAATGCCTGCGGAAGACAGAAGAGGTTGTTGGAGCCCCTGGAACTGGAGTTAGAGTTGTAAGCTGTATGTGGGTGATGGGATTCGAACCCGGATCTTCTCCAAGAACAGTCAGCACTCTTAACCGCTGAGCCATCTCTCTAGCCTGAATATATTCTTTTTTTTATGTACCCTAGGCTGACCTTAAACTCAAGATTACCCTGCCTCCACTTCCAGTACTGAGATTACAGGTATTGCTACCACACCCAGCTCACTTATTTATTCTTAAACAGATTCTAAAAATCTTCCCAAGGGTGAATTAGGGGAGGAAAAAGATCACCCTACAATATATCAATAAGCTCCTCCCCTGAACCAGCTGGCCTGAATCATCTCCAGCCTCTCTTCACACCAGTTCCAGCAGGACAGAGCTCTGAGAGTCTCTCACCTTGGTAAGCTCCAACCCAACACAAACCCCATTGAATGGGCAGATCTAAACTCACTGTGTACACAGGCATACTAGCGTGTGTATACATAACAGAGAGCACCATGGTGTGGTCTTCCCGACTCAGCCTTCACTGTCACCTCCAACGCTGGAGTGGGATCCAGGTCTGCCTTTCATAAGGAACAGGAACCTCTCTGCAACCCTACCTCCCACAGGCACTGAGCTCAGGAACCAAGAGGATCCTTAAAGGGTATCTGGGTCCTCTCCTCGTAATGCAGATAAAAGGGTCCAGGGAGGTCACAGAGCAAAACTGACCTCTGCCCCCAGCCCTGTCCTCTGTCCAGCACTATGCTGCCACACTCCTCAGCAGTCTCTTACCTACTGGTCACTGAGTGCCTGCCTCATACAAGCACCCTGCAGTATCTGGAAGAGCAGGAACAAGCTGTCTAAGTCCCCAGAGCAATGCAGCTCACATGTAGGTATAAGGAGATAAGTCAGCCAATCGCCAGGTGGTCTTCCATTACATAGGAAAAGGCATAAAGCCAGGTGATAGCAGAGTGAAGGTTGCTGCTATGTGACCAGGTGAGGGCAGACCTGTAAGGACCTCTGAAGACAAACAGGCAAGGGTCACATAGCCTTCTGTCCCTTCCCTTAAGTCTGTTAGGCCAGGCCTGCACACACTTCCCACTAAGAAGAAATCAACAGCAGTTTGCCAGATGCCCTGGTCCTGGCCCCACAGTGCCCCTTTCAGAGGACAGCCCCTAGGGGTCATACGTTCAGAATATGGGACCAAGCTACTTAGACCAGAGCGTGTGAGGTGTCCGTTGGACCTGACAGGGGCAACACATGGGAGGCATTCTAACAGGAGCCCTCTCTCACACCTCCCACTAGATGCCACAGCCTCTACACTGTGTGCCCTCCCCTACCAAGATGTTGCCAATGGTCTGTCTGGTGTGACCTAAAGCAAGAGACACTGGCTAAAGAGACACCAGGATACATTCTAGTCCCAGCCCTGCCACCTGCTCTGTATGCAGTCTTGGGCAAGTCACTTGGCTTCTCTGATCAGGGCAGCCCATGTTACATGATGCAGGCCAGGGTGGACCTAAAACACATCATGCACAGCTGGACTCCCCATCTCACCCCAGAGGCAGATGTCCTGATCTCCTCAGTCTAGAGCAGCCCCTCATGGGTGGCTACATTCTTTGCTGACACAGGTGCTTCTCTCCCTCCACTGCAGCTGCTGCTCTCCCCTGATGAGCTGCCTCTAGCTGTCTTTGCATATTTCTATTTACATGGCAAGCAGGCCTCTCTGTATTCAAACTTACATAATCCTGCTCTCCCTCACTCGTTCCCAGCCCCAGCTTACTGCACCCACCCCAAAGTACTGGAGTTGGAGAAAAGGGGATGAGTTGAACAGCTTTATCCTGCTCTGACCTGGGAGCCAGATACACTACATAAGGCCCCTCCTGGTGACCGGAAGACCTAGTACACTGGATCATTAAACACTAGAGTGTGCTGTGGGAGCACCAGTCAGAACATGCACTCGCTCTTCCCCCAGCCAGGTACCCAGCCAAGCTAAGTCTTCTCTGACAGCAGAAAATAAGTATGCAATGTCAGGCAAGGCCGGAAAGAGTTCATTTCCTGATCTCCATGGGCACCTTGCACTGGCTTCTCACAGTAGCCAGCCCTTCCCACACTATTTCTCTTCTCAGTGTCTTCCCCCTCTACCCTGTCTGCATGGCAACCAGAACTCCTTGGGGTGGATGGCCCCTGCACAGAGCGTGCTGTGGTTCCCATATTTTTACAGCAGTCACTTTTCCTGGCTTTCCAAACTCTCCACTGTTTCCTATTTCCCCATCCACTTCCTCCTGGTTCAGGCTGGCCTGACTCTAACTGCCCCTGCACAAATCTGGTCTCCTCCTTTTTGCTGTCCCCTGCATCTGAAACACCCTCCTTTCTACTCATCCTCCCGTGTCCACTTTTGGTGTCTAGTACCTCTCAGGCCCCTTCCCAATATGGGGTAACAGCGAGGTCCTGGAGTCTAAAGAGATTTACCTGGGCTTCCTCCCATACTCCCAGCAGAACCCTCAAAAGTGGTTCAGATGGCAGACGCAGTCCCTCTTTACTTCCTCAAATCTCCTCCAGGCCTCAAGTTCTTACCCGACCATACAAAATCAGGAGGTACTGCTGGGACAAGCAACACTGTTGTATGAAGCGCCACTGGGTTCCCAGGCTGCTGTGCTTCCCTAGGAAGCCCAGGGAATGCAGAGCAGTGCTACTCCATTTTGCTCCATCCTGCCCATTCTCTGTGGCAAAATGGGTAATCCCTTCTTGAACAAAGAGCAAGGAGGGGAGCAGTGGGGTGCAGCTCAGTGAAAAAATATACTTTGGAGGCCCTGGATTCCATCCCCAGCACAAAAGAAGAGGAGAAAACAACTTTTTTAAAGTTTATGTAAAACTAGGGGCTGGGCAGCTGGCTTAGCAGTTTAGAGCATTGGCTGCTCTCGCAGAGGACCCAGGTTCAGTTCCCAGCACACGTATGGTGGCTAACAACTGCCTGTAATTCCAGTTGCGGGGAATTTGACCCTTTTCTAGCCTCCATGGGAACCAACTGCATACATGGTATATAAACATACATGCAGACAAATACTCATACACATAAAATATAAATTTAGTTTTATGTAAAACTAAACAGAGAAAGCATTTTATTTTCTGCCACTGTTCTTCCAAGAGCACATATTGAGTTTAACTTCTGCACATTTTCTAGCCATCTAAAACAAGGGACATGAATAAAATAATCCAGGGACCACTGTTTATTCTACAAACATATAGAAGGATTGCACTGAGCAATGAGCAAAACGACAGACCTTGTCCTCAAAGCTGTGATCACCAGGGGAGTGGTATACACAGGTTCACAGTTAAGGAAGATTAAAAGAAGCTGCATTCCACAGGGCGTGGTGGTGCATGCCTTTAATCCCAGCACTTGGGAGGCAGAGGCAGGCAGATCTCTGTGAGTTCAAGGCCAGCCTGGTCTACACAGTGAGTTCCAGGCCAGCTGGGGCTACAGGAAGACCCAGTCCCCCCTAAAACAAACAAACAAACAAAAAAAGAAGCTGCATTCCCTACAACAGGACATAATAAGGCAGCCTCAGAGGAAGAAAAGGGTAGAGACAGGCATGTGGGTGGGAAGCCCAAGAGTGAGAGGAAGGTACAAGGGCCAGAAGAGAAGCAAGGAGCAGAGTGACACTCGGATGCCAGACAGGCTGGATCCAAAAGTAAGAAGGCCCTAGAAAGTGAGGTTGAAGTTTGTTCTAAAAACAAACTATTTTATTTGCTATTTAATTACTTAGTTTTGAGACAGGGTCTCATGAATCCCAGGCTGGCTTCAAACCTGATATGTAGCTGAGGATGATCTTGAACTTCTGGTCCTCTTGCTTCCATCTCCTAAGTGGTAAGATTACTGATGTGTGCCACCATACCAGTTTAAGCAATCACTGGAGGTAAATCCAGGGCTTTGTGTGTGCTAGGCAAATTCTTTATCAGTTGAGCTACATCTCAGCCCCAGATGAGTTTTGTTTTT